GAGAGAGAGAGAGATTGATTGATTTTCCTTGGAAAAGAGGGCGAGGAAGTCAGGGGACAGAGTTTTTGTGCATGTGTGTTTCAGCCACCTTCACGGACATTCTGCCCCTCTGGCCACCCAGGGCAAACAGGCCATCCTGCTAGCTGTGTGGGCGGCTCTCCATCACCATGTGCGCTGCGTAGCCGCCTCCCTTGTGGGCTCTGAGCCTCTTGAGGACAGGGCGGAACAGTTCTCCCAGCTGCTCTGTTGCTGTGACCATACCTGGCACATACATGGCTGCCCCTTAGCTGTGATCAGTGAGCGAGCAACTTTTAAGAGTGTGACTGAGGGTTTGCTGTCGTCACCAGGGTCTCCTGGTTTGTCTCCCTGGCCCTTTGTCATGGTCTTTTGCAGGGATTTTGGGAGTTGGACACAGTAAGGGTTGATCTGTCACTTCCAAAGGGCTGTGCGTGCTTGAGATTTGATTTCCCCTCTTCGTTTATGTCTGAGTTGCGAGCAGCGAACACTCCAGGCAGCCCTGTCTCAGTGATTCCCTGAGGGTGAGGAAGGGTCAGGCCCTCATGCCTTGGCCAGTAAGGGATGTAGGCCTCGCTGGCAACATTACTGACCCAAGAATAAATAATTATGTCAGTTTGTTTCTAGTTTCCACACATGCACAAAAACTCAAGGTCTTCAAAAAGTCCCAGCAAAACACTGAATGGGTTGAAAAAGTTGTTTTTTTTTGATAGGCAGAGTTATAGACAGTGAGAGAGATAGAGACAGAGAGAAAGGTCTTCCTTCTGTTGGTTCACCTCCCAAATGGCTGCCACGGCCGGTGCGCTGCACTGATCCGAAGCCAGGAGCCAGGTGCTTCCTCCTGGTCTCCCATGCGGGTGCAGGGCCTAAACACTTGGGCCATCCTCCACTGCCCTCCGGGGCCACAGCAGAGAGCTGGGCTGGAAGAGGAGCAACCGGGACAGAATCCGGTGCCCCGACCGAGACTAGAACCCGGGGTGCCAGCACCGCAGGCGGAGAATTAGCCTAGTGAGCTACAGCGCTGGCCAAAGAAGTTTTTGACATCTAAACAAACTTGTCTTTAAGTCCGCCGGTACAGACTCCTGTGGGGCCTCTGTAGACAGTTTTTGTTTGGTTTTGTTTTTGCCATTTATCAGTTCAGCACCTTCTCCTCCTCTTTCAGCTGTTTGGGCACCAAGAGTGCTCACCAGCAGCCACGAGAGGGGAGGACCAAACTGGCTCCGTTCTCTCATAAAGGGGCTGGGCCTTTTCCTGCCTGTGCACACACCTCGCTCAGCTTCCCTGAGAAACACTGGGTCAGTTTGCTAGTGTTGTCTTCTCTTTGATGGGAGGTAGTGCTTCAGTCAAGCTATGCCGCCTTCCTTTTCCTCCTCCTCCTCCTAAAAGCCTCAGTTACAAAGCTGAGTTCTCTGCAGTTCTCTCTTCTTGAATGACATTTCAGTTCTTGCGGTGGGGTCTCCACTGGCAATGCGGAGTTGGAGAAATGACCACCATCAGAAATCCGTGTTTGAACTTCCCTTCCCAACAGGTGAACCTGCTCACTCCTCTCCCACCCTCTTCTGTGGGCGATGCTTCATCTCTCCCTTCCATTTCACGTTGACCCGTGCCCAAGGGGTCTCCTGTTGACTTTTGTGAACATACTACTGGACAGACTTTGAGTCATAAAACTGCCAGTTCCAAAAGGAATCTGGTCTGGCTGGGGTGGAGGAGCACGTGGGCCTCAGAATGTTGCTGGCTGCTGCTCCTCACGGAATGGGTAACAGACACTGCCGCTGTGGTTGATCCTCAGAGAGGAAGAAAGCCATTTCTCTGTGCGGCAGAGAGGGGCCACGTCGAAGTGATAGAAACACTCACCCTCCTCAACCTGCATTCTTCAGAGAAGGACAAGGTGAGTTGGGCTCTGTTGCTTCAGTGAGGGTGAGAGGGGTAGAAGGTGGATGAGGGTGTGCTAATGCGTGTTGGTCCCAGGGGATCGTGGCTGTGCAGGTGAACTCTGCCGAGTTTGCTGCGGAGCCTCTTGACCGGCAGCTGCCACGCCATAGGTGTGTGTGAACTGGCCGACCTCAGGTTCTCTGGCACCTGCTCTAACCTGCCCTTCCACGCCATAGGTGTGTGTGAACTGGCTGACCTCAGGTTCTCCGGCACCCGCTCTAACCTGCCCTTCCTCGCCATAGGTGTGTGTGAACTGGCCGACCTCAGGTTCTCTGGCACCTGCTCTAACCTGCCCTTCCACGCCATAGGTGTGTGTGAACTGGCCGACCTCAGGTTCCCCGGCACCTGCTCTAACCTGCCCTTCCACGCCATAGGTGTGTGTGAACTGGCCGACCTCAGGGTTCCCCGGGCGCCTGCTCTAACCTGCCCTTCCACGCCATAGGTGTGTGTGAACTGGCCGACCTCAGGTTCCCCGGCGCCTGCTCTAACCTGCCCTTCCACGCCATAGGTGTGTGTGAACTGGCCGACCTCAGGTTCCCTGGCGCCTGCTCTAACCTGCCCTTCCACGCCATAGGTGTGTGTGAACTGGCCAACCTCAGGTTCTCCGGCACCCGCTCTAACCTGCCCTTCCTCGCCATAGGTGTGTGTGAACTGGCCGACCTCAGGTTCTCCGGCACCCGCTCTAACTGCCCTTCCACGCCATAGGTGTGTGTGAACTGGCCGACCTCAGGTTCCCCGGCACCTGCTCTAACCTGCCCTTCCTCCCTGTAGGCTGCTGGACACCCAGCACCTGCTGAGTGGGTTGGGGCGGGGAGCCTGGAAGACAACAATCTGGATGTCCTTTTGATGGGTGTCTTAGAAATCCCAGGTGGGGTGGCGGGCCAAGGGCTCCACTCATCGTTACATTGTTGGCCATCTGTGCCGGTTAGGTCTCAGTTTGCTCTCACATAGGCTAAGCGGAATCTCTTGTGTGTGCAAAATTATTGATGAGAAGTATGGATGACTTTTCTTTCAGACAGCTGTGTCTTCTCATTTTAAATGTAGAGATTTATGAATTTCACCTAAAACTTGGGCTGAGACAGCCCGCACACTACACCAGAGTTCTGGACAAAGTGAAAATGCAAGGGGGCGGTGTCCTGGCTTGGCACCCCGCAAGTGCGTCTCTGTTGCAGGAGGGAAACACAGCCCTGCACCTGGCGGCAAGGGGTGGGCACAGCCGAGCTGTGCAGCTGCTGCTGACTCAGCGGCGAGGAGTGGATGAAGTCAATGAGGTACGGAGGCACTCACTGCAGGTGGGGCCTGGGGCTTCAGCAGGGAACAGATGGGCGGAAAACAGAACAGTTAGGGCCACGACCCCGAAGATTCCTGCTGCTTTTCTCCAGCACTTTCCACAGTACTCTGTTATATTTGTGTGCTCACCCACTCATTCCAAAAATGCTTGTTTCATATATGCCCTAGTCTAGCACCCTGTAGGTTAGAAGGGCATGCAAGGGCAGGTGTGTGGCATAGCGGGTTAAGCCACCACTTGGGACACCTGCATCCATATCAGAGCCCCTGAGACGGAGTCCTGGCTCTGTTTCCAATCCAGCTTCCTGCTGATTTGCACCCTGGGAGGTAACAGACAATGGTGTGTGTGCTTGGGTCCCTGCCGCCCATGTGGAAGACCTTGACTGGGTGCTGGGCTCTGGATGTGGCTTGGTCCAGTAAAGCTGGGAAGAGGGTTTAGGGGTTGGAGCAGCATATGGAAGATTGATCTGCCTCTGCTATTCAGGTAGATGAGAATGAATACATTTTTTTAAATTAAAAATAAAGGAAGAGCATGCAAAAATATACTGGATTAGATGCAATAAAAGGTATGTATAGGGTGCTGTTTTGTTTATTTTAAGGATTTGTTTTACTTATTTGAAAGAGTGATGGTGGGGGAGAGAGAGAAAGAAACAGAGAGATAGGTGTTGCATCGCTGGTTCACTTCCCAAACGGCTGGGGTGGCTGGAGCCAGGCCAGGCTGCAGCTGCGAGCCTGGAATTCCATCCTGTTCTCCCACATGTGTGGAAGGGACCCAGATACTTGGGTCATTCTCTGCTGCTCTCCCAGTCACATTAGCATGGAGATGGATCAGAAGTGGAGCAGCTGGGGCTCAAACCAGTGCTCTGATGCAAGATGCCAGCATTACAGGCAGCAGCTTAACCCACTGTGCCACCGTGCTGGCCCCTGGATAGGATATTCAAAATATTCATAGAAAATGGAGTTAAGGGGCCGGTGCTGTGGCCTAGCAGGTAAAGCCGCCGTCGGCAGTGCCGGCATCCCGTATGGGTGCTGCTTCACGTCCCGGCTGCTCCACTTCTGATCCAGCTCTCTGCTGTGGCTTGGGAAGGCAGTGGAAGATGGCCCAAGTCCTTGGGCCCCTGCACCCGCGTGGGGGACACGGAGGAAGCTCAGCTTCGGCCATTGCAGCCATTGGGGAGTGAACCAGTGGACAGAAGACCTCTCTCTCTGCCTCTCCTTCTCTCTCTGTGTAACTCTGACTTTCAAATAAATAAATAAATCTTTAAAAAATGGAGTTAAAAGGTAGGTTTATTTTGGTGCAAAAGATTTTAAAATTCATGCTTATTTCTTCACCATATAGTTTCCATGATCATTTTGAAGACCATTCATATGTATAGATTTCAGAAATTTTTGTGCCAAAATAAACTTCCCTTTAAAAAAATATTTCTGCATTTGAGAGGCAGAAACACAGAGACAGAGAGATAGAGAAATGGAACTCCGGTCTACTGGTTCACTCCCCAGATTCCCACAACAGCTAGGGCTAGGCTGGGGCCAAACATGATAGCCAGGAACTCAATTTGTCTCTCACGGTGGTGGAAGGGACCCATATTGCTGCCAACTAGGGTGTGCACTGGCAGGAAGCAAAGTTAAGAGCTGTGGCTGGGGGGCAGTGCTGTGGCATAACTGGTAAAGCTGCTGCCTGCAGTGCCGGCATCCCATATGGGTGCTGGTCAAGACCCAGCTACTCCACTTCCAATCCAGTTCTCTGCTATGGCCTGGGAAAGCAGTAGAGCAGTAGAGGATGGCCCATGTCCTTGGGCCCCTGCACCCTCATGGGAGACCTAGAAAAAGCTCCTGGCTCCTGGCTTCAGATCAGCACAGCTCTGGCCACTGGGGCCAACTGGGGAGTGAACCAGTGGATGGAGGACCCCTCCCCCCACCTCTCCTTCTCTCTGTGTAACTGTGACTTTCAAATAAATAACTAAATCTTTCAAAAAAAAAGCTGTGGCTGGGCATCCAGCGTGGGCACTTTGACATGGGACGCGGGGTTCCTAACTTCCGGGCTACATGCTTGCCCCTAGCTCTGAGCCTTGATGTCTGTGCCCTCAAGGGTGCTGGAGACACAGCCTTTCCTGAGAGTGTGCCCCACCACCATTCCTGAGATTTTCTGAGTCCCAGCAGCCATTCTGATACAGGGCAGTGTTCTTCCCACGGGAGCCAGGTTAGGTCTGCTCCCTGGTGGACAAGCCTGGGAGATGCCCAGCGCTCAGACGTGAACATGTGAAATGATTCATGCTTAGAATTGATGGCTGTCAGCCATGAAGACAGCAGGTGCGGCAACATAATGAGAGAGGCTCTGAAGGGGCACACGTGTGATGCCTGGGCCAGTGAGTATCTCTCCGGGTCTGGGGAAGGCCCCCAGCCCAGTCCCATGCACCCTGGCTCTGACTGCCTGTGTCTGACTTGGGTGCAGCACTCTAGCCGAAGGGTCATGGGCACGCTACTTAACCCTCGCGGCCTTGTTTCCTCATCTGTAGCGTGGCACTGTAAAGCCATAGAGAGGTTTAAATGGAAAGGCTGTGTCACGTAGCACATGAAAGGTGCCTGTGGTGGGTGTGTGACTGGGGGTGTCTGTAGTTGCAGTACCATGGTGCAGTAAGTGGGATCCTAGCTGGCATCAGCGTGAGCAGTGTATACAGTTGTCAGTATGAGCAATGTATACAGTCATCCCTGAGTCTACGGACCTGGTTCTGGGACCCCCAGCACATACCAGATTGGATGCTGCTCAAGTCCTGAGAATGCTGATCTTACCTAATGCAGTGTAGATGCTGTGCAGATCATTCCTCCACCGTGTGGTTTAGGACATAACAACGAAAAAAATCTGTGTCTGCTCAGTGTGGATACAGTCAATCTCTCTCTTCCTCTCTCTTTAATTTTTTTGTCCCTCTGGCGCTTGAGTCTGTCGGTGTGGGACCCACTGATACGGAGACCGCCTGCCTTGCTGTTGCCCTCGTTCCCTTGTGGTCAACAAGTGCTCACTGAAGGCCAGGACACAGGGGGGCCTCCATGCTCACTCTCCTCACCATCTGTCTAATGAGCCGGCTGAACTGGTTTATTCACTTGAAGAGGAGCACAAGAACTGGGTCTTCCTGCGTGAGGAATGAAGTGTTGAAAACTCAAAAAGACCAGGAATCGGGGCTCAGCATTCGACACAGTGGCTAAGACACTGCTTGGGACACCCAGGTCCCATATTGGTTCATTCACCACTTTTGCAGCCTGCACTGCGGTGCAGCAGGTTAAGCATCCATCTGTGGTGCTGGCATCCCACGTAGGTGCCAGTTCGAGTACCAGCTGCTCCACTTCTGATCCAGTTCCCTACTAATGGCCTGGGAAGGTGGTAGAAGATGGCCAAAGTGCCTGGGCCCTTGCATTTGCTTGAGGCATCCAGAAGAAGCTCCTGGCTCCTGGCTTTAGATCAGCCCAGCTCCGGCAGTTGCGGCCATTTGGGGAGTGAACCAGCAGATGGAAGACCTTTACCTCTGTCTCTCTCTCTCTCTGTCCTTAACTCTGCCTCTCAAGTAAATAAATGAATCTAAAAAAAAATCTCCACCTTTACTTTGGATTCTAACTTCCTGCTAATGTGCACCTTAGGGGACAGCAGGTGATGGCTTTAAGTATTTCAATCCCTGGTAGCCTTGTGAGAGACCATTGAGTTTCTGGATCCTGGCTTTGGCCTGGCCCAACCTTGGCTGTTGCAGGAATTTTTGGAGTAAACCAGTGGAGAGAAGACCTCTGTCTCTCTCTCTCTGTCAAACTAACAAGTAAGTAAAGTAAATAAGTAAAGATGAAAATAAAACAGGAGTCACCAGGGGTCAACCTTGGGTGAGGTTGACCTGCCCAGACCAGTGTGGAGACTGTCTCACCCACTCCTGTGGCTGCAACACAGTGTCTTAGACTAGGAATTTATAAATCATAAAATCCTTTCAGTTTCCTTTGTATAGGAATAACTATCTCTCTTTTTTTTAATTTTTTGACAGGCAGAGTGGACAGTGAGAGAGAGAGAGACAGAGAGATAGAGAGACAGAGAGAAAGGTCTTCCTTTTGCCGTTGGTTCACCCTCCAATGGACGCCGCAGCCGGCGTACCACGCTGATCCAATGGCAGGAGCCAGGTGCTTCTCCTGGTCTCCCATGGGGTGCAGGGCCCAAGCACTTGGGCCATCCTCCACTGCACTCCCTGGCCACAGCAGAGAGCTGGCCTGGAAGAGGGGCAACCGGGACAGAATCCGGCGCCCCAACCGGGACTAGAACCCGGTGTGCCGGCGCCGCAAGGTGGAGGATTAGCCTAGTGAGCCGTGGCACCGGCCTATAACTATCTCTTTTTAGTGGCTGCCTAAAATTTATCTGTTTTTAGCTCTTGTACATTAGCTTGTTTCAGGCTTTCTTCACTGTAGGCAGTGCTAGCATGTGACAAAAAGATATACTTACTCCTGTACAAAGGAAATCTTAGTTTATAAACCTTAGTTTGAGTTCCTCACTGTTTCCTTTTGGTATATTCTTAGATATAGATTATGGGTCAAATATATGGATGCTTATTACACTCTTTCATATGTTAAAATTTGAATTCTTTCCTTCACATCTTTTGAAAATATTTTTTCCCACCTGGGTTTGCCTTTTGGCATCTCTTTTTCTGGAAGAATGGGAAGACGTGTCGTGAGCAGAAATTCCTTGGTAAGCAGCTGCCCCAGGCATCCGGGAAAAGCAGTGTGGGGTGGAGTCTTCCAGCCTTGCTGGGACAGAGACGTGGTCCCCACATTCACCTCCCTGTTAGCAGGATGTCCCTATCTGATTGCTGTGACTTGGACCCTCTGGGCTTGCCCAGTACCATTGCCAAGCAGAATAAAGTCTCAGGGTGCTGGTTAGGGAGGGACGTATGCTTCCCCACAGCACTTCCAGGAATATTCGGGAACCACGTGTGAGATCAGTTCCTTTTTTTCCCTCTATGTCATGGTGAAAACTAAACTCATGGCCAGCACCGTGGCTCACTTGGCTAATCCTCTGCCTGTGGCGCCGGCACCCTGGGTTCTAGTCCCAGTCGGGGCGCTGGTTCTGTCTCGGGTGCCCCTCTTCCAGTCCAGCTCTCTGCTGTGGCCCGGGAGTGCAGTGGAGGATGGCCCAGGTGCTTGGGCTCTGCACCCGCAGGGGAGACCAGGAGGAAGCACCTGGCTCCCGGCTTCGGATCGGCACAGTGCGCTGGCTGTAGTGGCCATTAGGGGGGTGAACCAATGGAAGGAAGACCTTTCTCTCTGTCTTTCTCTCTCTCACTGTCCACTCTGCCTGTCAAAACAAACAAACAAACAAACAAAAACCCACTAAATTCACTTTGCCCTGTTGGTGCTCTTGCCAAGTTTCAGGAAAGTGAAGTGCTGAGATTACTTTTTTAAAAATTGACATTCTTTTTTAATTTTTATTTTTAAAAAGACATAAAATTTTTATATTAAAGGCAGAGTTAGATACACCGTGAGAAAGAGAGAGAGAGAGAGAGAGAGAGAGGACAGAGAGATCTTCCATCTGCTGATTCATTCCCCAAACGGCTGCTATGGCCAGGGCTGAGCCAGGCTGAAGCCAGAAACCAGGAGCTCCATCCGGGTCTCCCTCGTGGGTGCAGGGGCCCAAGCACTTGGGCCAACTTCCGCTGCTTTCCCAGGTGCATTAGCAGGCAGCTGGATCAGAAGTGGAGCAGCCAGAACTTGAACCTGTGCCAATATGGGATGCTGACACTACATTGAGCAGCTTAACCCACTGTGCTACAATGCCAGCCCCAACGCTCCTTATTTTAAGACAGTCAACCTTTTAGCTCATTTGATAGGTTAAGGCTGTTCTTGGCACAAGGGCACTTCTAGTTTGCGCTGTAGCTCTGCTTCTGAGATGATCTTTCCTGTGGGAAGGGCTGTGTCCTCCCTGCCTTAGGATCCCAGCATGCACGTGGTGTCTGTGGGCCTCATCGGTACAGGGTGAGGGTGTGATGGGGTGGACAGTGAGAAGGGTGTGGCCTGGAGTTGTCAGGAGTGCGGGCTGTGGTGCTCACAGCCTGCACCCTGGCTCCGTGGCCCTTCAGCTGAGGTTCAGTTTACTTCTCTGTAAACTGAGGACAGAATGGTCACAATCTTTGGGACTGTGCTGTGCTCTTAGTGGGCCAAGGTGAGTGGTCTCAGCAGCAGACGTAAGCACCGAGGAGCTCGCTCAGTGTGACCGTTACCAAGAGTGGGGCATGGGGTGGGAACAGGGAGGGCTGTCTCTCAGGGCTTTGGATCCTCACCAGGGATAGTCGGGATGACTGAATTCTCTTTGTTAGGATGGAGAGACACCGTTCTTCCTGAGTGTCCAGGGGGGCCACGAGGAATGCAGCCAAGTGCTCCTGGAGGCGGGAAGCGACATCAACGTCAGAAATAAGGTAGGTGACCCGAGACTGGGTCCTGCATTGCTCTACCGCTGGGTTTTTGTGGGATTAATATTTATATGTTTCTTGGTAAAAATGAATGATATACCTCTGATATCCCAGTTAACTCTCTTCCAAGTGTTTCTTCTTTTCTCTGGGGAAGAGTCTCTTGACAGTGGGGCACTTGTCACTTGCTATACACAGGACTCTCTTCTTTCGTCCTGGGTGGGCTTCTCTGTACCAGCTGGCCGCGCCTGCTTTGCACAGCAGTGCTGGAGAGGATGTGTGCTGGCTAAAGCTCGACGTGGCCCACTGGCGTCTTTTGCCAGGTTGCCTGGTGCTCTGGCGTGTCTGAGGCTGGACTGTTGTCTTCCTTTTCTTCGGTCAGAAAGCCATAGTTTGAAAGGTCGTGGAAGTTGTCCCGGATTGACAGTGGATGGTGGGCTAGGGGTTGGGGGTGGGGGTTACACTTGTGTCTCATTACACAGGGGCTACAGGTCCACATGACCTCTTTCTTGTTTTTCTAATTAACTTTGAGTTTTGATGAAAACCACTCATGACCTGAACATTTGAGTAGTACCACTGGATAAACTTTCCTGAACCCCGCAGCTCGGTTTCACTCTGCAGAACTCACTCGGTACTGCTTTCTTTATTCTCCCCAGAGCTCTGCACCGCCCCTCCCCCCACCGGCCCAGCACACAGGTGCACCTCCTGTGCACTCACTTCCATGGTGGTGGTAGTCTGTGTGTTTCTTGAACTGCAGATATGTCTTGGGGATCTTTATGTTGGCACGGTGTTTAAACAGCACCTTTTCCGGAAGACAGGTGCTGTTTCATGCTTTATATCCTGCTGGTGGGAGTGCCCATTTGTGCAACCCTTTAGGTCAGCAACTTGTCACTTTCCTTCTAGCCACACATGGGACGTTATGTTAAGACACTGCTCTAAAGGCTGGCATTGCGGCATAGTGGATAAAGCCACTGCCCGTGTGGGCGCTGGCTCGTGTTCCCACGCTGCAGTTCTGCACTTCTCCCTGCTATTGGCCTGGACGTGCAGTGAATCCACACCCACGATTCACTGGTCTCCTATTGCTGTAAAACACCATGCTGGACCCTCTGCAGGAGGCAGGACAGCTGAGAGCGGCGTGGCCAAGGGCAGCCAGATGCAGGCCGAGTGTGTACCCCAGCACCAGGCAAACTTAGCTGAGCCCAGGGCCACTGCTGGTGTGCAGGAGTCGTGGGAAACTTTGGCGCTGTGCTGGCCAGAGGAGTGACGTGGAGGGTGGTGGGACTGGGGACCTCTGAGCAAGCCTTCATTCTCAGTTCTGGGGGTTGGCACCTGGCGCTGGCAGCGTTGATTCTGGTGAGGTCTCTCCGGGCTTGCAGACGGTGCTCTCCTTGCTGTGCCCTCACGTGGTGCCAGGGGACCTACTGCTCTCTGGTCTTCTTGGTGCAGATCCTGAGGTTGAAGGCCCCACCTTGTGATCTAAGCCACCCAGTTCTGTCACAGTGGGACTAGGGCTCCACAGGAAATTTGGAGGGACTCAGAGGCTCGTTCATTGCACGTGTGGTCCTCAGGGCTCCAAGACTTGAGGGAGACGCGTTGGGTTTTCTTTTTGAACTGGTTGTCCCCTTCCCTGGGTTAACTGGTTACCATGCGACAAACAGCATAGAGCCAGACCTCACTGGATCCCCTCCCCTGCTCTCTGGCTGTCCTTTCAGCTCAACGTAAGCGCTTTGCAGACTGCAGCCCGGAACGGCCAGGCATCCCTCGTCAAGTTTCTGCTCCGAGAGAACGTGGACCTGCACCAGGGCCTGGACGTAAGTCTCTTCCCTGCCGCAGGCCTTGGCGCTGGCAGCCCTGGGGGAGCGCCGCCGGTGGTTGTGTGGGACGAGGGGCTCCTGGCAAAGCGGCCTGGCTCCTTCCGGAAGCTGAGTCTTAACCCTTAGAAGTCAAATCTGAGACGTGAATTTGGGGGCCATTGAAGTTCTGAACGGAATGAATTCGCGATGTTTGAAATTCTCATTTTTGCTGCACTAAAGCTTGCTTGTGAGTCCCTAGGGGCAATTCCTTATGAGTGTTGTCTTGGGAAAAGAGTGAGGCCGCTGGGGACAGGAAGAGGACTGGTCACTTCCCTGCCCTGGGCAGCTGTGTTTTCCTGTGGGAAGTCCTTCTTTTATCCTGCCTTAGATCTGCAGTAATTGGAACTGCCCTTGGAATTAGCAGGGCCCTCTGCTGGGATGAGGTGGGAAGCGCCCCTGTTTTCCAGGTTCTTTCCTCCTCTGAGGACATTATTTCCCGAAACCTGCTATTTATTTAGTGCATTAACTCAGCGCAGAGCTGTGGTTTGAACTGCATCACAGTGTGGCACACAGCACTGGGCTCTGGCTCTGGACTTGCTCTTTCTTGGACAGTGCTGGTCCCCACTGGGGCAGCCGCCCTGCCAGGGCAACTGCCCGCAGGAGGCTGTGTCCTCAGCAGGGGAGGCCACACAGGACCATGGCTGTGTCTGCACAGCGCCCCTGACCTCCCTCGTGGTGTCTGCCCCCACCCCAGTGCTCGACTTCTCCACCATGGTGCCCCCACCCGCCTTGTCCTCTGGGCGCTGCTGGCCTCCCCACCCTGTCTGCTGCGGATGGAGGGACACAAAGGTCTGGGTTCAAGTCCTGTCTCTGCATGTCCTTGCTCCGTGGACCTGGGTGGTTTCTGCTCTTTTCTGTCCTCCTGACAAAGGAGGGACTGGATGGTGCCTGGACAGCATCACCTGTGTCTGGAACACGGCTGGGTTCTCCTGACACGGAAGGTCACGCTAGCTTGCATTCGGGCCACTCACTGGTCCTCGGCCCCCACCCTCCCACAGGGCTGCCTCCTCTTCCGCTTACCCTCTCTCGCTCCTTCACTTTTTTTTTTTTTTGGATAGGCAGAGTGGACAGTGAGAGAGAGAGACAGAGAGAAAGGTCTTCCTTTTGCCCTTGGTTCACCCTCCAATGGACACCACGGCCGTTATCGCGCTGATCCGAAGCCAGGAGCCAGGTGCTTCTCCTGGTCTCCCATGCGGGTGCAGGGCCCAAGCACTTGGGCCATCCTCCATTGCACTCCTGGGCCACAGCAGAGAGCTGGCCTGGAAGAAGGGCAACCGGGACAGAATCCGGCGCCCCAACCAGGACTAGAACCCGGGGTGCCGGCGCCGCAGGCGGAGGATTAGCCTAGTGAGCCGCGGCACTGGCTTGCTCCTTCACTTCTTTGCTTTTTCCTTCCCTCCCCACCCAGCTGTTCCTCTCCTGCCCACGTTTTGTCTTGGGCTGCCCCCGGTGCTCTGTGAGGTGGAGGTGTGTGTGGACCTGGCAGGAGGCTCGCATGGGGATGGGTGAGGGCGGAAGGTGTGGCCAGGAAGACAGGCAGTTTGGCCCCAGACGAGGAGATGGGGAGCAGGCTGCATACGGCTCTCGAGCTCACCTGGGAGAGGGGGCACCAGTTCTGTAAGGTGCTCTGGGGAATAGGGGCTCTCTGTTCCACAGTGCAAGAAATGTAGGCTCTCTTCCCCTGGGGAGGTTCCCACTGCCCCTCAGCTCAACAGCCTAACACTGCCTGAGCTCCCTGCTGGTGCTGTGCCGTCAGTTCATTGGGAAAGTCTCTCCTATCCTCCCACCTCACACTTGCTCCCCCACGATTTGTAATTGCACATTTCTTGTGTGACTTTAAAAAGATTCCCGAGAACGGGCTTTGTTCACCACTAAATCTCTGGCACCCTGAAAAGGGCCTGGCCCACAGCAGGTGCACAGGCTGCAGTTCCGGACGGGGCAGAGGGTAGAGCAGGTCTGCGTGGCAGCCTCGATGGCCAAGGTTGCTGACATGTCTGCTCAGGAAGCACCTGCTGGAGTTGCCGCTTAGGGACTGACTGACGGGGCCAGAATCTCTGGGGCTGACACTGGTGTTCTGCTCTGCAGCCCACGGAGTCCCCTCTGCACCTAGCAGTGACCCACAACCACATGGCCATAGTGACCAGCCTACTGCAAGCGCAGCACGACACCAATGTCCTCAATCAGGTAAGCCGGCATATCAGAGCCCCGGGAGTATTGTGGCTTTCTGGTCAGGGTTGAGGGGCCCTGGAGACCCCTGGGGTGTGTGTGCGTTCTTTCTAACCTTTGCCTTCTGTCAAAGCCTGCCACCCCACCCCCGCCAGCCACACGCGCACACACACACACACACACACACATGTACGCGCAGGCTTGGCCATGACCAGGGCAAGGCGTCCTCATTGGTCAGCTCGCTGGTCCCCTAGACAGGCAGCTCAGCAGGGGCTTGCCAGAGACACTGAGGTCAACAGCCACCCCCTGCCCCCTGCCGCAGGGGCCTCTGCACAGAGGGCAAATGTGGCTTCCTTCGCCCAAAGCAAACTTGACCTCTTGGAGTCAAAGTCACCTGGGATTCAATCAACTGCAGCAGAATCAAAGCCCCCTGAAAGCAAAGTCTCCCTCTGGGTGGGAATGGAAATGTGGGGGGCAGGCGGGAAGGGAGGCCTGCCCCAGCCCAGCCGCCCTCAGCCCTCAGCCCTTCCACTCTGAAGCCAGGCCCACACCCAGCCCTGCCGTCTCCTCCAGCCCCACCTTGGTCTTTCAGTGCCCCCAAAGCTTGGGTGGAAGACGCC